TAGCTGTGGAGGGCAGTGTCACTGGCCCTCATATGTGGGATCCGAACCGGGGTCCTCTGGGATCCCAAGCCAGCTCTTAACCAACGCGCCACTCAGCCGGCCCCTTATCATCTCGATCTTATTTCTGAGGAGACTGAGGTTTGGAGAAGCCCAGGAACTTGGCCAAGGAGCACAGAGAGGCAGAGCCAGGACTGGAAAGAGCTCGGGTATTGGCACTGACTTCCCCACCCCTTCACCTTTAAGGCTCTAAGCTCTTCACATTCCCAGTCTCTCTCTGCTGGGGTCTGACTAGGGGAGGGGTGGGGGTGAATATAGGATGCAAGAGAAACCAGGGAAGTTCTGAGCACCTAAACAAATCACCATGGCTTCTATCGTGCTGGAGGACAGGGAAGGAAGTTTTATTCCTCGCACCACTCTGTAGGCGTCAACTGAACAGCTGAGCAGCTCGAGGCTTGAAATGCTCTCTTGGGAGCTGAGGGCCCTTCACAGAGGCCCTGGTAAATATCACTCAACAAGCTCCTCTGTCCAGGGACACATTTATCATCTGAATGCGACAGCCTGCATGGAGCTGAGAAATCTGCTTGTCATTCAGCACTTTGCAAAGGGGAGAAGAATTGGCTGGAATTGGTATCGGCCTCCATTATCTTGCAGTTCCACTCTTGCTGTCAGCCGCAGACTGAGCCTTCAGAATCTCATGCTTAATGGGGTTGTTTCCTATTTCCTGACCCTTCAAAGTATTAACACTGAAGAGAAAAACAAACAGGCGATGTCACGGATAAGGGAATCTCCCATTTACAAAACAAACCTCATCTATATAACTTACAGCAGGGCCCCAAGGGTGCCCTGCCACCTGTGGTCCTCACATCACTGCTCCCCCCACTCCATTTCTCTGAGAGACTTTCTAGAGATGGCCCGTCACCTAGTCTGCGCCCCACAGGCCCGGATTCCAACCACTCCCACTTAACAATGATGGCTGAGTGGGACCTATGTGAAAGAACTGCAGAGGCTAAGCAGAAGAGAGTGCCACCACATCTGTCTTCGAGGCATCTACCATCGAGTAAGACTAGTGGCTACTGGCTCAGGTGGATGAGGAGGGAGCACAGGGAGGGCATCACCAAGACAGGGAGGACATAAAAGCTTTCCTGCAATCAGCTACATCGAGAGGTTCTGAAAGCTACAACTTTCACAGGCAGGGGATGGGGGGAGGGGACGATGCCTCCAGGCAGATAGAACGGTCTGAGCAAAGGTGTGGAGAAAAGATAGTATGGAGGCTATTTGGGGCCAAGAGAATAGCCCAGTTGAGCTTGAGCAGACGGAATGAATGGGAGAGAATGCAGAGATAACGGTGGAGTGCCTTGAACTTGGAAGGCAGTTGAGAGCTGTCAGTCCAGGCCTCTGAACAGGGGGCAGCAGGACCAGGGCTGATCTTTGGGAGACAGTCAAGTGGCCCATAGGGGAGAATGCCAGTTACACAGGGAGGAGGGAGAATAGTGAAGTGGCTGCTACCAGCACTTTCTCAGAAGCAGCCTTGAAGGCTCAAGTTCAATGAAGCCTAATTGGCCCCTCACACTTACTAGCAGCCCCATTCTCAGGAGTTATTGTTCTGTTAATACATTAATGTGCCTGGGTCTCAATGTGCCCAGTGAGGAAAGTTTTTCATAAGCCCTTGGGCTCTGAGATCTAGATATTGGCGCCCTCTTCCGCCCTGAGCTCCCGTCCCCTATCTGCCCTACAAACAGACTGGCTTGGCTGTACCCCCACCTTCCTGATTCTCCCCTGGTTTTTGGCATCTGTTGATACCAACAATGGTTCTGGCTTGCCCTGTGGTTGGGCCAGCTTTCCCGTGAGCCTAGATGTGTGGCACAGGGTGGCAAGGCTGAGAGTGGAAAGGTGGGGACTGACAGGAGAAATATTACCCCCAAATAACTTATTTGCCTCAGAAACTCGTTGAAGGGAGAGGGTAAAAGACAACTAGCAGTTAAAATATGGCAGAAGGGCAGCTGGTGGCAAACACAGTCACTGAAAGTAGAAGTTGTCTTAGATGGCAGCGGAATGGGTTCAGTTGGGATATGCTGAATGTGTAGAAAGGACATAGGGTTGGAAATGCCGAGT